GTCTCGCCTTCTTTCCCCACTTGCTTCCCATAGTAATTTTTCTAACCGTATTTCCCAGTTGTTGACAACAGTTAAGAGGTATGAGGGAAGTACTGCAGCTTTTGCACCTCTTCCTGAAGCATCCTGTTTCCTGATCCTTTCCTTCTTTATGTGGTGACCCTCAGAATCATCTTGTCTCCATCCCAGAGGGAGCAAGAACAGCAGTTTGAGCCCCTTCCCCCGCTCACCGACCATGTCCCTGTGTTGTGTTGTATGTGGTTTTAACAGTCCTGCCAGTCCCGACTGTCTCCACGCAGTGACCTCACACACACAGGTGTGTGCATGCTGTCTTCAGCTTCGAGGCCAGCCAGCGGTCAGGAGGCAACGAGGCCCGCGAGCACAGCCTGCCTGCTTCCTGTGCTGTAGGGTGTCCTGCCTGCCGCCGCTGGCTTGGCTTCCTCTTATTCAGGGATCCGTCTCTGAACTAGGACTTTTCAGTCCAGCATGCAGAGCCATCCCCCGCTCCCAGCTCCAGGCTTCCCCTCTTCTAGAGCCCTTGAGGCATTCTATTTTGAAGAAATTCCTGGGTAAAGTTACTTTTGTAAGGGGTTACGTTGTATGGAATTGCCTCTCACATTCATTACCCCTTCTATACAAATGCGTTCTTTCTAGTAAGCTTTCTGTACTTGTAGGCCACTGGTTATATAGCCGAAGATCCCAGCATAGCTGGTGGAGAACTGCTTTTTTGCATAATTTTGATCTGACATCCCTGAATGCAAATCTGGCACTCTTTACTTGGGCTTAGCTCTGTAGCTTGTGCTGATAGATTCCAGGATATCTGTGAAGTGCCAGTCAGTGGTGTTAGGACGTCCCAGGAGGTTTGTCATGAAAGGTCCAAGCTGACGTGTCATTCCAGCCTGCAGGTTACGCTTGACAGGGGTTGTCATCTTAAGTCACCTTAAGACACCTCGAAAGCAAACTTGGCTTCAATCTTTGAGAAGATATGTGTGGATTTCAAGCTGACTTTTGGGAAACAGGAGACCCTAGTGAGGGGATGACTCCCAGATTGTTTTTTCCTAGGGTTTGCGTCTGCTTGATGAGAAGGCCTAGGGTCTGTTTTGGCTTAGTGCAGAGTTCTAAAGCCTCACAGGTGGTTGGCTGGGTGGTGGTCCTGTGGCTTGCCTGAGGACCTGTTTCTTGGGGACCTGTTTGGAGGCCACTGTTTGGGGCAAAGTAGTCCCAGAAACAGCTGTGACCCCCTCTAGGGGGAAAAATGCAATGTCACCAAATTCCTCATGGTGAGCCAATCAGTGAATGTCACATAAACTCTATGGCAAGTTTGACTTTTCCCCTCGTTAAACATGGGAAGGGGAATGGGGTAATGGGTGACTGGGGATTGAAGAACTTTACATGACTCTGATGCAGGTGCTGGTCTCTTGTCAATGTGTCCCAAGACATTCTGCTCCTTGCAGGTAGCCACCCCCTAAAAAGGTCTGAATCAGCACACACGCCTCTCTCTCCACAGTGCAGAGTTGCCGACCACAGCAGTGTGCCCATGACTTAGAAATGATGATGATGTTGGCGAATCAAGAGTCTTTCCCCAGCTGCCAGCCTCTCCTCTTTCCTTCCATCCCAGATGCCCAGCTCTAATAGCCCCCTCCTCCCTCCCTGTGGCATGGCGATCCTAACAGTCCTATGAATGTGAACTGCTCACCTCATTGTGTGTATGGAAGAAGAGCCAGCTGGTGTGTTGTCAGGAAGCACTACTGAAAATGTGAACTGTTACAGAACAAATAAACAGTCCCAGAATGTACTCGGGTGCCGGTCTCATTCTTCTTAGCCATCAGGGGTATCTTGTTAGTTTTTGTTATTGTTTTTTTTTTTCTTTATGGAAGAGAGAAAGGGAAAGTGGGTGGTTGGTCTTCTAAATGGGGGAAAAGAGCAGGGTAAATTTTCTCAAAAGCCAAGAGAAGGTAGGAATCCAGAGAGGAATCCTGTGTGATCCTTCCATGAGAGCCACAATCCCATCTGAATACATGGCAGAGTATTCTGGCAGTGAACTTGATCCTGTGGCAAGGCTGGAAGACCCTTCTCATGTTACGCTCTTTTCAGCATGGTTTCTAGGGTCCTGTTTAATAACACTCCTGCTGGTGCCTGCTATGTGGACACGGGACACTGTTGACAGGCAAGTGGGGGACGTCTGTCCCATACCCCAGAGCAGTCAGCAGTGCTTTCATTGCCAGCATGTGACTTCCGGAAGAGTTGAAGTGCATCATGGCAAGCGGAGCCACGAGCCACTGCTGCATCGCACACCTCTCTCCAGTTCCCAGATGAGTACGACTCTTATGGAAAGGAGTTGTGTTTACTGCTCTTTCTCATCACCAGGGCTTAGAGCAGAGCCTGGCACCCAAGCTGTCAGGACAGGAAAGAAGGGAATTTCGGGTACATGTGATATTGGGGGAGAACTAGACAGAACCGTGGATGGAAAGGGAACAGTGGCACTCAGGCGCACCCTTGGACTTGGACATAAAGACCCCCTGGTGGTCTTAGCCTCTAAAAATCATGCTCCAGAGACAAAAGTGTGGCTTAAGCAGATGTTAAGATACATGGAAGCTAGGGCTCAGCCAGCTCTCCAAACCCACCTAGCACCTAACACTGAGCCTCCTCTACTGCGCCCCCAATCACTTCTTTTAGCTCCTTGCTGGTGCCTTGTTGAAACCCCTTGTTCTGTAGCGCTGAGTAGAAGTCAACTCCTTCAGAGACCGAGCGCAGAGGCTGGTTGGGGTACTGGTGGTAGCTGGGCAAGAGCCCTCCTGGGTGGGCTGCACATGACAGCTGCTGAAGGAAACACCGGTGGTGGTCCGGTAGGCAGCCCGGGTTTTCTTTGAAGCTCTTACTGTGCCTGCACTTGAACTCCAACACCATCCTGGTGTAGGTATTGAAGGTGGTGACGGCTGATGCCATGCAGCAGGTGAAGGAAACCCAGGCTGTGCTAGGGACAAAAACAAATTGTGACGGTAACAAAGAAAGCTGCCATAATCACCTCATACTTAATGGACGAGGCAGAACTTCATGACAATTCAGGGATCTGGGTATGCTGCCTTTTCTCACGTTTCAGGTACATTGTGGGCAAGAGTACCTAGTTGGTTGCATTTGGGGGGATGTTCTGAATGTTTAGGAAGATGGCAACTGATGCAGAACTTAAGGCGTGGAAAGTGAAGTGGATTTATTTCCACTGAATTGGTAACATACCATCCTTGTGCCCTTTTCTACCTGCTGTACTATTGTGTGTGCATGTGTGTGTGTGTGCATTTCCCAAACTGCAAGTACCCATGTAAAAATCTCCAAAATTCTACATTCCTGCAGTTCAGCCATGTACAAGGGCAGCCTAATGCACTTCCTGCCTTTTCCCTCTTCTCCATTCCTCTCTTACCCTAATACTGCCAAAAACTTCCCAAAGATGGCCAGTGGGAGCACCATCCCTCTCCCATCTTCCTTTGTTTTGAACTGCCAGGTCTCAAGATCCCCAGAGGGGAGCCTCAGTTCAGGAAAGCGTTTGCTACAAAGGGGACGTGCTGTGGCTTACACAGTGGAATTTACTTATGAGAATGTGGTTCTTGGCTGAGGGGAGTTCGTGAGGGATGGAGGAGGAGAAGCTGTAGATAGAGAGGAACTGGGTGGATTCAAGAAAGGCAAAAAAGACACCAGGGAACTGTATCAAACACATTCCTAAAAACTTGGAAACCCCAAGCCCTAAATCTCTCCATGTTTCTGGGAAGCTCAGGAAACAGGAAATTTTGTGAGGTTAGGGAAGGATTTCAGGAAGCCAAGAGTGATGGTTAAGCCAGGCCAATGCGGAGGGAACAATGTGTTTTTATCTGCTGCTGACCAAGTAGATCCAGGCTGGAATACTTCTGGTACAAATTTTGGTGCTAAAGATAGCTTGAAGACAAAGGATGAAAAAACAGTGGGCTTGGAAAATGAGTGCAGCTGGAGTGGTGCTTGATAGAGTGGATTAAAGACTCGAGTCGGGCCCAGCATGGTAGCCTGGCAGCTAGGGTCCTCACCTGGCATGCATTGGGATCCCATGTAGGCACCAGTTCTAACACTGGCAGCCCTGCTTTCCATTCAACTCCCTGCTGGTGGCCTGGGAAAGCAGTCGAGGACAGCCCAAATCCTTTGGATTGCACCCAAATGGGAGACCCGGAAGGGGCTCCTGGCTTTGGGTCGGGGAGGCTCTGGCCATTGCAGACAGTTGGGGAGTGAATCATTGGACAGAGGATCATCTTTGTCTCTTCTCCTTTCTATCTGACTTTACAATCAAAAACAAAATAAATATACTATGGAGGAAGGGGATAGGATCCAGGTTTTCATCCTGCCTAGCACTGACTTGGCCCAGTTAATGCATGGTCAAGTTGGCAACCTTGTGAGTGTTCCTCAAGGGAGAAAGTAGGAAGCTTTTAAACAAAGGGAGTTTGGCTTGAATGCTTGTTTGCCACATTCCTGCTTCTGTTTAAGAGAAATCTAAAGTGACTAACATCTCAGTTGTTGAAGGAAGTCTAATACAGTTTGGTAGGATAAGAATGGAGATTGGAGCAGGAAGTTGTTCTTAGCTTCAGGGAGTTTAGAATGGATAGATGAGAATTCAACTGATGACTGACTCATTAATAGAACTCATCCAACTCTCAAAGCTAATTCTCCATCCTCTGCTCTCCAATATATCAAATAAAAAATTATATAGCATCATTTCCATAAACCATACAAAATCAGTCTCGTTGCTCAAGGCCAATTGCCACAGCTGGTAAGCCCCCGAATTGGAGAAAACAGCCTCATGAAGCCAACCAGAGGAATTCTCTCTGCACCTTTCAGCAGGTGGGGAAGGGATGGGCATGTGACAGGGGTCCAGCCTTAGATGTGGCTGCTGGGCTGCTGGGATGAAGGGTGAAGGACATAGGAGCAAACATCTTTCCAAGGCCAGGAATTCTGTTGCAGGTTGACTGGGGAAGGAACTGAAAAGATTTGAAATAAATGGGAAGCACTTACTAGAAGGCCCACCCGTAATTCCAGTCATGTGGTCTCCAGTCTTCTGGACCCAGGTTGGCAGTTGCTTGGAAGACTTGTGAGTACAGCATGTGGGCAACCATCCCCAGAAGGCCTACAAAGGGAAGAGGCAGGTAGCCCTTGGAGAAGGGCTGTCATTGCCACCTCCTTTGTCATGACTTTAGAGTGAGGGTCTTTGAGTTTTCCCCAGGTGCAACCTGTTTGGTGGCGTCCATTCCTCTTGTACCCCTATACTTCAAGGGAGACTAAGGGTTCGTGGGGCATCTCGTTGAATACCCATCTTTACTATGGGTTGTCCCAAACCAGGCTGAGAACTATGAAGGCCTTGAAATCAGTGCTGCACCAAGAGCTGTGGTTCCCTTTGATCCTTCCCACCTGTCCATCTTCCTTTTATACATCTCTCACTTTGTTCAGCAGAAAGAAGTTTGAACAGTTGGAAATGTGTCACAACCAAATGACAGAAATGGAGAAAGCTTGCCAATACCGGAACGCTGAGGTGAGTTGTGTTATAAAGCCCAGAATGATCTTATGTACAACGTTTCCCAGATGTCTGTAAAGCAACACCCTCCACCAGTTGTGTTGTGTTGTGTTGTGTTTTATGTTTTTGGATTCTTCTCCTCCTCCAGGCTACTGGGAGACTCAAACCTGGGAAGCCACTCACCCGACAAGACGGAGGAGATGGCAGCAAAGGCGCTCAGCTTGAGTCCGCAGCCTGGGTTCTCAGGCAGGAGCAAGTCAGTTAGAAGCAGGAGGAAGCTGACGAACTGAAGGCCGATGTAGGTGATCTGGGCTCCCAGGGATAACCAGAGGATCTCTATCAGAAACCAGAGGAAGGAATGGGACCTCAGTGGCAGTGAAACACTGGACAGAGTGTGAGCATTTGAGACCCCCCAGAAGTCAAGAGCCCGACAGTGTCCGCCAAGAGGGAAGAAAAGGGAGCATGGGTTGGGCATGTGATTGGGGAGGTCTGAAAAGGAACCCAAAAATCCTTGCCAAGCCATCATCTTGTCTCTCTTGTTCCTTATGGCATCTGGGGACAGTCAGTGTTGTCTCCTTTCCTCTTCTCTCCCTCCCTATTACTTTACGGGGGGAGGGGGAAGAGAGGAAAAGTCTGTTGTCCACAGCTATGTGGCAACAAAAGTAGGATTGGGTAGATGTTGATGGTTTTCTTCTTGTAAATTTTCTTCCTTCCTGCCATCCCCGTTGCGTGTCTGCATGTGCCTGGAAGTCAGCTGGAGGAGGAATGGGCAACACTCCCTCAGGACTCAGAAGAAGAGAAAAGCAGATCACAGCGCAGGGAAGATCCAGAGAGGCCCCACTCAAGGGTAAGTGAACAAACACATACTTGCCAGGAGCCCCAAGGGAAGGTGGGGTAGGAAGGGCTTCTCCATCAACCGCTTCCCTCCAAATCGGAGAGCGGAGTGACATGGGCCTTGCAACGCGGCAAATTCCAGTAGTCCTTTCTCACCTCTCTCGGTTGGTGGTGTGAGTTCAAGGAAACTTCGGCACCTCTCCCCTGAAACGTACAATGGGCAACTTTGTGGAGGTGCTGCCACGTTGGGCAGATGGGGGAACAAGAAGCCTTCTCTGCCCCCTCATACCGGGGCTGCCTCCGAAGCAGGTGCACAGAATATGTCTCTTTGTGCAAGCAGGGAGGAATGCATGCAAGGCTCATGGGCACAGGCTACACTCCTCTAACATCAGCTTCTTTTTCCTCCACATCTGGCTGTGAAGACCGCTCTGTGGTCTGTGTGGGTCTGTGTGAATGAATGCTCCCACGGGCATGTCAGGAAGGGGTTGTTATCCCGGGGCTCACGGTATCAACTGGTTCTAAAGTGCTTCCAGGTCTGGAGTGGAGCAGGCTTAAGTGGCTCAATAATAAATGTAAATGCAAGTGCAGCTGCATTTTCATTCCCTCTCCATCTCTGTTTCCCTTAAGCCCAATCAGGAGAAGTAGCAGTTCTCAAATTGCACGGCATTTAGAGAAACTTCACCACCAGGTGCTCTCTTCCCAGGCCGCAACACAACTTTTGTTCAGAGCAGGAAGGCAGTATCCTCCAGCCCCGCCTGTCCATCTGAGGATTCTGCCTTGTTAACACACGCACACTGTGCCTGCCTGCTGGCTCCACCAGGTGGCAAGGGACCTGGGAAGGTTTTTCATCGGCTTTCCTGAGGGTGTTCCTTGGGGGCTTCAGAGACCCACTTTTTAAAATAATTCTAACAATAATTCCAAGAATGAGAAAACCCTTTTTGGAGGAGAGATGGAGGAAGACTTGAGAGGTGACCTTCTAAGATCCTTTTTGCTCCCGACTGCAAAAGCTAAAACCTGCAGAGTGGAGTTGTGCATGGCACGTCATAGTTGGACAGAGCTGGGGCTTTTGCTACAATACTCTGTCCTCCTTGTTCTGTTTTAGACATCAGTTCTAGCTTACAAAACTGGAAATTCTGACACGTGGAAGAGCTAGTGGCAAAGCCAAGCATTACAAACTTGCTATTTTAAGCCAATTAGGCTGCTAGAGAGAGAGAGAGAGAGAGGTACCGAGCCAGGGCTTTTGACCTTAGGAAAAGTGGAAACCCAAGGAAATGGGATGTAATACAGAGACGGAAGGTTCCGGGTTGGGGGAGTGCACTGTACTCCCACATCCATCTCTGCCCCATGCTGTCCTGACTGGTTTGCTTGCCCGCATAAGCAGCTCCCTAGTCCCCACTCTGAAAACCACCTGGGTAGATGGGGTAAGGGGACTACCTGGTTCTTCCATGATTTCCTCACAGGATAGCCACATGCCACTCCGGAAGGTAAGGAAGGTGAAGCGGTCATCCCCAGCCTCCCAGCTGTATTGCACCACCTCCTGGGATGATGCGTTGGCGATGCCGGCATCCAGGGGCACCGGCATGTCAAAGCATTTGGTTGCCAGACTTTTCCCGCACACGGGCTTGGGCACCTTCTGTGTGCCCACAAACCAGTAGCTGCTGAGCAGGGATGTTGTGGAGAGGCTGAGTGATAGCAGGCCGAGGACGGCAGATAGGCATGTCCGTTGGCCAGAGCAGCCCTTCGGGAGTTCCATCTGTAACAAACACAAAGCGGGATACGGGGAGGTGAGCTTCCTTAGGCACACAGCAGGGGGCGCTTTGCTGACGGCTCCTCCCCAACACCCATAAAACCCAGCCAGTCTCTCAGAGCAGTCTGACAGCTCTGTGCAGGAGCTCGGCTTTGGGAATAGCCTGGAGCCAGCCCCTGCAGGTGATGATTCGTGAACACCTTATTCACAACTTGTATGGTTTCCACAGAGGATGGTGGCTTTCCCTGAGCAGATACAGGCACTGGGCTGGTTGTGGTACACAGCAAGACACAGAGGCTGGGGAAGAGGGACCCAGCAGATAGGACAAATGATAAGAGTACTTTCAAAGGTTCATGGAAATGAAATGCAGAGTTTACTTTGGTACAAAAATTGTTGACATGCATGCCTGGGAAGAGTCTTTGAAACTTTTCTTGAAAAAGTTATGCCTGGGCTTCAAAAATTTTTGGCACTGTATTTGCTTGTTTGCTTATTTGTTTTAGATTTATTATTTTTTATTGGAAAGTCAGATCTACAGAGAGAAAGATCCTCCATCCACTATCCTACTCCCCAACTGGCTGAGCTGACCCAAAGCCAGGAGCCAGGAGCTTTTTTTCAAGTCACAGGGTCCCAAGGCTTTGGGCCACCCTCCACTGCTTTCCAGGCCACAAGCAGGAAGCTAGATGGGAAGTGGAACAGCCGGGATTAGAACCAGCGCCAATATGGGTCTCCACTTGCTGCCTCTCAGGATGCATATTAATTAGAATCTAGAATCTGGAGAGCAGCTGGGGCTTGAATCCAGGCACTCTGATGTAGATACAGACATCTGAGTGGTGTCCCCATGACTCTGCCAAACACCTATCCAACTCCTACCTTTTAATCCCATTTCCCATTAACCTATTGAAGGGCCCTGTTAGGATGAGGTAATGTGGAAGTCAGAACCAGATACATATCTGAATCTTCCAATTCTGCCATCAAAGGTAACAATCCACATGTGGGGCCCCCAGCCAGCAAAGCCCAGGAGAATACACAGGTACCTTTGTAGAAAAGCCTCAAGGACCCCAGATTTCCCCATAGCTGGTGCCCTGGGAGCCCAGGGCTTGAGCAGGAGAGAGTGAGGCTGGTCTTTATCCAATGCTGTCCTTCTCTCTGAGATACAACCCAAGTTCCCTCTGCTATTTAGTAAGATGCACTAAGTGACACCTGCTACCAGAAGTGTGACTTAGAAGGGTTTTGAGGGCTCTTGGCTTTTGTCTCCTGCACAGTCATTTTTTATTCTCTCTCTCTAAGATTTCAAAGTGCCATTAGGCAACAATTGTGTTTAGTCTGTGCCACAGCTACTTGCACACTGGACACTCGATACTAAACTTGTGATTAAACTTGGATGAGCTGAGGGAGCATCAGGTAACAGTAAGCTCAAAGTGGGATTAAACCATGGAGGCTGATATAGAGAGGGTTTAGAGAAAGAATTGGGAACATTTCAATTGCTCTTTATGGTTACTCTTTTAGGCTTTGTTTTCTCTGAAAATCAGCAGCACAGGCTTGCTGAGGTCCGCATGACTGGGACTAGCAGTGAGTTGTAGCGGGAGACTTTCTTTACCTTAGGTGTTCACCTTGGAGGAGGAATGGGGAAGATGTCTCAGCAGTTACCTACATGCCCGGGAGCACATGGGAGCTTTGGGACCTCAAGGGTTAAAGAGGCAGTGAACCGTGGAAGCTGTTGGAGTTAGGGTGGGCGGTGTTAGGTGCAGTGGTTAGGATCCTGCTTAGGAAACCTGCATCCCACTGCAGAGTCCCGGGTTTGGGTTCCAGTCTGTTTCTAGTTTGAATTCCAGTTTCCTACTAATGAGTACCCTTGGAGGCAGCAGGAGATGGCTCACGGATGAGGGCCTTGCCGCTCTAGTGGGAGACCTGGCTCTATCCCTCACTGTCGTGGCTATCTGGGAAATGAACTAGAGGATAGGACTTCTTTGTCTGTGTGATTTCTGGAGAGATGGTGGCATTTATGGGTTCTGAGGGAGGTAACATCCAAGCCATCTTCTGCCCACTGTCACCCAGGCTACAGAATCTCAAAGGGGAGGTGGCTGCGTGGTTGTGACCATGGGGACACAGGGAGGTTCCCAGAGCCAAGTTCTTGAGACAAGGACCATGCCTGACTTATGATGGAGACATACTGTGTGACAGTAGAAAGAGCCCCTGCTTATTTTTATAAAACCAGAGCCTAAGAAAAGAGGGAGATGACATAAGGGTCTGAGTGCGGGCCTGGATAAATTAATTCGTTTTGGAATCATAAAGCAATCTGACATGCCTCACACTGGGTTAGGAGCAGACTGTGCTGCTGGGTGCACACTTAGCACAGAGCAGCCCACGCGTAATTAATGACAGGCTCTTCTTAAAGTAAACCATCTAGAGCTTTCTGGGGGATCTACTCGTATCAGAGTAGATCAGCCCTAAATCTGCTTAGCTTGAGAGATGTTAAGTAAAACCATAGCTAAGTTGACAGGCCCATAAATCTGCTTCTGTCATCACTCTCAGCTTACCAGCTTTTGCATTTAACAGAGAATATTATCTTAGTGATGCAACAGTCTGTGCTTCAGAATTAGCAGGAACCCAGACGGTACATTTGACAAAGTATGTATTAATAGCAATAAGA